TAAATTAATAATAGGTAATATTGTCATTTCATATTTTACCTGCATATGTCTGCATTGACATAAGTACGAGAGTTAATAAAATTAAGGGTATAATAGTAAAAATATCTTTTCATACTTTTAATAATTGTGAGAGTAAAAATGACTGAAATTTAATATGAGAGCAATAAGTTCAAACTTAAAGGTGTGAGACAGCATTTAATCCTAATTATAAACATGCAAAAATAAAATAATAGTAACGTTGTTGAAATCAACGGAGAAAAACATTAAGGTATCAGATTCTACTAGCATTAAATTTATAAATATTTCATTATTCATCTATCAAATCCCTAAGTAAGAGTAGCAATCTAGAGGTCTCTGTTGCCCTCACAAATTTTATCATTAAAACTCAAATAAAAATATTTTTAAAACTAAATTTTCCTTCACTTATAAGCTATAAAATTCTAAAAACCCTAAGTGTTCAACTTAATAAAATAAACATAAGATTAAACATTGTTACTTTTGAAAATTATAAAAATCAAGCTTAAATTAATTATTTCTTAAACCTAACTACCACTAAGAGCATATCGAATAGAGCCCAAATTAGGCTATTATGTCCCAATTTGGCGACCTAATCTACTTCATTGGTGGTCGTCAAATTTGGGCAACATTTTTCAATTGTTATGTGGTTGCCGTAAGGGCGACCCATTTGGCGGGCCCTCTTGCCAATTATTATTATTATTTTTTAAATCTATAGCAGTAGTCCAAAATTGGGTTAAGGACATGTTTGGGTGAAAAAATGGTTAGAAATTAACTTTTTTGGTTATTTTTTGTCTTTATTTTTCCCTTAACACAATTGAATCAGAGAGCCTTAAGACATTACTTGGCTAGCATAAACAATGCCTTAAAAGGTTTTTTTGGACACAAATAAAAAAGAAAAATTATTTTTTATTTATATATATATATATTTCCTAATCAAATAATTTTTTTTTTTTTAATATTTGTCTTTGTTGTCACCTCTATAATAAATGCATAAACGGATATTGTATTTTTTATTTTTATATAAAAAAAATTAATTTACTAAACATTTAACCAATAAACAATTTAATTATTTTTTTCGTGAAAACGTCAAAATGGGGCCGCAAATTGACGGCTTTTAAGTCTTCTTTCCATTGCGGAGTTTGCACCATTACATGACTTTCTGCCTGAGTCAAAAGTTATGCAATCAAAATAATTTCAAAAACGAAATTTGCTTGCTAAATACACTTCTAAAATTCTTCTATTATCCTTTTATAAACTATCTGAGCACTTAGATGCACTCTGACGTTTGATTTCATCAATTAATGTGTAAAATGACGTATATAACCTCTAATGACATGAAAATTACTAAAGCGTTGAAAAGACATAAAAATCTATTTATTATTTAAAATAAAATACGGTGTTACTCCGAGTCCGTGTTCAAACATCGCACCCTCCTCCTCTCCTTTAACAACTAATCACTAACCTCCTAACATTCCTGTTTTGAAAATAATAATAATAATATAATAAAATATCATAAAGTACTAACAAATATAATTTTAAATATAAAATATGTATAAAACAAGCCTATTCTCCTCCTTTCAACCAAAGTAAAAAAATGTTACATGTATAATGAAATTGTTTTTAACCAAAGAATATATTTTCGTTACTGATGGTAATTGGGGATTATTTTTTATTTTGTCGAAAGAATTTTACCTCGATGGAGATAAAAATAGATGTATGTTTTGCTGGCATAGGGATGAACAAATGACAGAATATGTTGTGTCCACCATCGAGTGATCATGAACGGTAAAGAACACAAGATACTCCATGGCACTATTTTCGTTTGTTAGCAAGATGATACAAGCCCCGGAAGAGCTAATTGATGATGAACACCCTTTGCGATAAAAGCCATTTGATCAAGTTGAATTACTCAAGTTCTTTCACACAGAAGAGGGCCACAGAGCAGAGAACACTGTGGAAGCCTTCAGCGGTGTTTAAGACCTATATATGTGTATATATAAAATATATATATATATATATATGCTAAATAAAGAATACTCATAACTCTTGTCAAGAAAGTTTCTCATTTTTTTTTTTTTTTTCATCATACATTACCTGGAAATAATCGTGTTAATTTCATCAAGACAATTTGAAGCCCTAATTTCATCAAAATAACTTGAATCCCCAATTGTGTAATGGCACATTTGTTTGTGATTTTTAACTTGATGCCATTGTTTATATCTTTTCTAATTTTAGAAAATTGTGGAAACGAACTTCTATCGACATCTAAGGAATCAGAAAGTTTATTGATTGCTATTTTTTTGTATGTCATTTCGATTGCTTATGCAGCAATTTCACATCACTTATGTAATAATTTTACTATCGCTTATGCAACAACTACCTGGAATATTACTTATGCAATAATAATTTTTTTATGTATCTTATTGCACTATGATATAGTGTGTTGTCCTAAGAATTTAAACGAACACGGGACCAAGGCACAGAATCTCCTCCCGTGAACGAGATCTGAATTCTAGGAGTATAATACGGACTTGTGTAGGGAGTATGAAGGACAAGATAAAGTGAACGAAGAAAAAAAAAAATTGAGCAAAACGAACTCGCAAAATATCCCAAAGATTGAGCAAAAGAAACTTTTTTTTTCCTCGCTTAGACATGATTGAGCAAAAGAAAGAGAGGAGGCAATTGTACAAGAGTCAAAATTTGTCCAGCTGAGAGATTCCACTTGAAAGTTGAACCAAGAAAATTTCTTATATAAATTTTTTTTTCCTCGCTTAGACAGTGATTGAGCATAATGAGAGGCACCGATCTTACGGCTATAATTACACCAAACCAATCCCAATACAAGGTGTAAAAGAACCGAATTTTATCATGTTATTTTTTGTTATGTATCATCTTGCGTTCATTATACTAGTTAAGAAATAGTTATAGATTATTTATATAAAAATTATATTATATTTACGGCTACAATTATAACACACCAATTCCAATACAAGGTATAAAAGAACCGAATTTTCTCATGTTATGTCGCATCTTGCGACATTATATTACTTAAGAAATAATTATAGACTATTTATATAAAAATTATATTATATTATTATTTCATGATGTTGCACTTTATCACGAGCCTGTAGATGAGCCGAGCAAGATTATTAAAAATTTCCTCACTTCCTGTTCTCTTTAAACTCTACAATCCAATCCCCCTGTTCTGTTTGGCGGTCACAGAGTGCCTAGCTAGCTAGTAACTACTCAATACTACCAACATTCTAATGTGCTGCTTATAATTATTAATTATATCTTTACAATTAAATCTCTCCAATTCCGTAGAGAATCATGCTTTTTGTAAGTTTGGTCCATGCCTAAGAGGAGGAGCCTTTCGCCGTTTCACCTTAGCATTTGAGGCTCTGTAAAAAGAGAGATATGAAAGAGATGGTATCAATTTTGATATTGGTTCTTGTGTGCGTTTGTGTTTTTCACTGTATAAGTCTAACAATGGGTACAACTATTATGTTGTTTCTTATGAGAAAATTGTGTACAGAAAAGCATGCTGTCGCTTAAGACATGAATTGCCAATTTGATTTGAAATTCTGTACCTCTAAATATTTTTTTTAAATTTTTTGTCTTTACACCTCCTCAAATTGGGGCATGCTCTGTTTGGCACGTAAACTAATAGAGGCCTGTAATGGTACAATCTTGATTACGAGAGCCATTAATCTTAGTGCAACCTTCACGTGGACATAATGCTTATCAACTTCAATGTGTTTTGTCATAAGCATCAATCAAATAATTAATTACCATAAATAGAGTCGACATGTTAACACTAGCAAGTTTGGTGGCAGGGGCCCATATTCTCCGTCTCTTGTTTTAGAGGTTCCCTATTAGTGGAGAAATGAATTTTTCTTAATTTTAAAGTTTTCGTATATAAGGGTTTGGTTTGACTTTAGTGCAATTATTCCGTTATGATTTTGCAATTATGGATTCAAATTAAAAAAAAAATAATCTATTCACATATATGGATGTTAGTCGTATCTATCATTTATAAAATTCTGTAATAATCAGAGCCTCATACTCAACTAATCATATTATAGATATATATATATATATATTGAAGTTTTGGGAAGATATTTCTCAGACTCACCTACTAATTTAACCATAAGATTAAAAAGAAGAAAGAAACAAATGAAAATGGTAAAAACAGTCTGATTCCTGCGAGAAAGTGCCATTCTTGGGATAGCAATTGTCGAGTAGCACATGGTTGCAGAGGCAATATCATCTTCAATTCACAAGGGTTTGCTCAGCACCGAAGGGACTGCGTGTCAGCCATGCCTTTACAATAATGTCCAAAATCTATCTCCATATATAGTCCATTCTATATATATATGTGTATATATATATGTATATTACTGTGAGTAAGGACAGATCCAATTGGCTCAAAAGTTACATTCATGGACCCTTATTATTTGCAACTTGCATTGCAATATACTATTTTTTTTTTTTAATTACTGATTTGGCTTGTTTTCAATTTGCAAGAGTATGACAAACAGTGTTCTTTCCAATTCATGTATGATTCAGTGATTTAATCATTTTTATCTTCATCTGTGTCTTATTGTTTGGAGGAGATCTTCCCTCATATCCGGGGCAAAAAGGTGTCGGATTGTGTGTCGTTTGCTTGAATATTCAAATCCCTATTTTCCCTCTCTCCGTGTGGAGACAAAAACACAGCCCACATAGACTATTTGTTTGCATTCCTTTATAGGATTTTATATAACTTATCCACTTTTTTGTTTGCATCCCTTTATTGGATTTGATTTAACTTATCCTCTGTCCACATTGTTCAAGGGAATAATTAGCCTCATAATACTTTCACCTCACTTTATTACTGTCGAGAAACTATTATATAGTTACACGAAAATATGTCACTTGGTGATACAATTCAATTTCGATTCATATTTAGTTTTTATTTTATTTGACCTCTATTCGTTTATTTTTTTTAGTTGCTTTTCTTAGTTAGTGAATTAGAAAATTGTTGACCGCATCTGACTTGATAGTATACCTGAATTTTGACTTATGTTCAGATTTTTTCCACATTTTTCGATTAAAGAATTTTGATTCAACTAGGCCGCATATTTTAGGACCATTTACTATTTTATCATGTATTATACTCCTCACAACTCTCCAAATAGTGAGAATTGGCTTATAACATGGCCAATCAATAGGGCATGAATTAACATGAAAACACGAACTATTAACAATAATAAACCAATTACCCAAAAACAGAAAAAAAAAAATAAATAAATAAGAACAAAACAATAATAATCTAATCTCCTCTAACCGCCTTTAACTCTTTCATCATCATTTGTGTCAAACCCGTTTAGAGGAGAACAAACCCGAATTGTGGACAGGGCCTTGTTGAAATGTTTGGCCTTGGTCCCGAGATACTGGTTCCAAGTGACCGGCCGGTAGAGAGGAGGGTGAATTTGGTCCACAAGTTTTGAGAGTGGTGAGATTTGAACTGTGTCAGGTGGCCCATATAGGAAGGCAAAGGAAAGCCGGTGCTGAGTCCGGTTCACCACAGCCCGGTGGAGCACACTCCGGTACAACCCGTTGGACAATATGTGAAGGAGATCGCCTACATTGACCGTGAGTGTACCTGGGAGGGGATGAACCATGACCCAACCGATCCCCTCCTGGAAGACCTGTAAACCACTAGTTTTGTTTTGGTGGAGGATGGTTAGGAGGGTTGAGTCCGTGTGCGCGGCAAGACCCATGGCCCGGTCCGGGTCCGGACAAGCCGGGTAAGAGTTGAACTGCAATGCAGCCTTGGAGTCTTTGAACTCTCCTTTTAAGCCAGCCCAATTGACATCTTCCTTGTTTATGTCCAATGACCCGAGCATGAGCCACATCAGCCTCCCAGCTAATTGTTTCATCTCATTCTCATATTCTTCAATTACATCACTGAAAATAAAATTAACAATTAAAGCTAGTTTTACAAAAAGTGGCTATATTATTATGCATAAAGAACAAAGCAAGCAGCACCAAAAGTGGATTTGATTTTCTAAATTAATGGTCACTTTATATCTTCTATGTGGACCCCATGACTTTTCAGTCTAATCTTTGGTCATTTTGTATAAAGGAAAATTACTATCTGGCTATAAATCTATGGTGCTTTTCCAAAAAAAAATTGACATGTATATAAAGAGAAGTGTACATATAAATAAACCGACACACAAACAGAAAAAGCATGAAAGGAGATGAAAAAGTCATTATCCATGTAGTTCCTATTTTGATGCTAGAGTGACGTTCTGGTACAGACAAACAAACCTCTGACATTATTTCTTAAACTTGATACTTCAACCTTTTACATCAAACAATGGTCCTAAATATGCACTATTGGGCCATTGCCTTGGGTAATCCATAAGAAGAGAGCATCACATCCTATGGTGGGATCCTATACATGTGTACTATTTGGTATATGTAGTAGGTTTAGTCATGTCTAAGCTTATGTAACATGATACATTACTTACATATTATGATGTAAAGTTTGTTACGTAAGCGATCTAAGATAATTATTGCATACGTTATATAAAATTATTACATAAGCAATATAAAATTATTACGTTAACAAATAACATTCTATGGTACAAAAGAGAGGATGGGTTTTCTAAGACGTTCGAGTTTCATAATGAATATTTATGACGAACATTTATCAGTGTGCGTGATTATTTATTATAAAAATAAATTAAAAAAAAAAAATCTAAAATATGCATATGAAAGACTGAATTAAGTAAATAAATAATAGATGACTTGAAGTTACTTCATTAGCATTTGAGAGTATACCAGAATTTGTTGTAATCTTGGGGCCAAAGTTTTCGAGCATGTTCTAGGGGCGAACCAGATACGGTGAAGCCTTCAGACCACATAAGCTTTGGGAAGAAGGAAGAAATGCGAGCCATGCCATAACCGGAGACACCATCTGGAGGACGAGCGGCTTTGAGCTTCTGTTGCATAGGTAGAGAGAAAAGGTTCCTTCCAACGGACTGAATGTCGTCGAGAAGGCTGTTTTTGATGCCATGGTTTGTCACTTGGAAAACACCCCATGTTTTGCATGCATGCCCCACAAGTTTTAGGGCATTTGGGTCACTCAGATTGATAACTGGCACTGACTCTATGCTCGAAGGGTCACCGGAAAAGTGCTCTTCGTCGACTGTACTAGACCATGCATGAGACTCTGGTAATTGTTTCACTGAATTGAAGTCCAAGTGTTTGTGGGAATTGAAGGCATCTGAGAGCCTTGAAGGCATAGTGAATTGGCTAAAGCTAGAATGGAAGTGTGTCGGAAGGGTAGGGTTGTGTAGTTTTAGACTTTTAGTAGATAGAAGTAGTGACAGGATATGTTACTCCATATATGATGGAATTGTGATGATGGTGTGTGTATAGCTTATGTGTGTGTGTGTGTATATATATAGATATAGATATATAAAGGGATGATATAGAAGAGGGTGACACGGTGGATGAGTACAGTATTATGTTGGAGGGAGTGGTGTTGGGGTGAGCACTAGCTGATGGAGGTGGGGACAAAGGAGGGTAATTGACTAATTGTATTGGACAAGAGAAAGAACAAGATATGAAAGGACCATTTTGTCCTCTACAAAACAATTTTAAGCTATACAAAGGAAATGGTACCTCAACCACTCAGAGGTTCCATGAAATGGGAGGGCCTATCTCCCACCTCCATGTGCCCTTGTCTTGTCCTCAAGTAGAAAAACATCAATATCAACATCTCTCCAATCAATGTCCACAAAAGGACAATAAAAACCTAACGTATTCTTCACATATGTGAAATGACTAAAACGTCCTTTGCTTGTTTATCTTTTAAAAATGGATAAAACTTCTTCAGTGGTCTCCATGGCGGATTTACTCGGAAGTTTTGTTAAGACTTGCGCCATCATGGATCAAGGATGGGAGAGAGGAAGAAGACATGCATAATTTGGCAACAAAGGGAAGGGCATTTTTGTTTTTTCAGATAAAGAAATGATCACAGTGGATGAGTGATATTTCTGCCTGTTTTTTTTCTCTTGCATATTTGGTCATTTCCATGTAAAGTAGTAAAGTTTCTTTTGGTATTTTGTGGTTAGATTTCTGGACTTTGTCCCATCTGAACCAAGTGGGCTCATGGGGGTTAACCTTTTAACGAAAACAAAAAAAGGAAAAAAAAGACCAAGTGGGCTCTTTAAGCAATAGCCTAGCTTTAAACACAACAATATTTCAAGTGGTATCCCATGAGTCACCTAACGGCCGGGTCCTTTGTCCTCCTATTGGACATGTACAGTTTTTCTTTTTCTCCGTAGACAACAAGTAAGAATGCCTATTTTCTCTTTGATGTATATTTTTTATGGTCCATCATCACTTTAATTTGTTCTTTTATATACTTTTTTTTTTGAGGTTGTAATGGTTACATATATAGTAGAATATAATTATGTGTTGGAGGACATCATGGGACATGGGTCGTGGGGTTGCACAACATATACATATTTGCAATTCTAATAACATATGTTGCTCACATGGCTGAAACGTGGTGTGGTTGGGTTGCTGCACAATGCGTTTAAAAGATATGTGCTTTGGGAGTCAGACAACGTTAATGTAATGTAATTGCTGACCTATCTATTTATATATTTTGTCTAAAATAATAACAATTTCTTGAAAAGAATTTGTGAATATCAACTACGATACAAATAATAAGACATGCACCGAAGTACAAAAAATATCTTTAAGAAAATTAACATAGTTAACGTGGATGGAGTTAGGCTAATAATGTAATGACATCATGATAGATTCGATTCATTCCCTGAAGTGATGGCTGATAAAAATGCAATTTTTCTCTATTTTTCCACCAATTAGCTTTAAACGATTACTACAGATATTGATTACTGAGTAGGGAAGGAAGGAAGAAAAGGAACAGAATAATAAAGTCGGGAGAGAAGAATGTTTAGGCGGATGCCATTGACCTCACACCAAATTTTTTTTTCCCGGTCCTCTCCTAAAAAGAAAGATATTTCTATAGGAAGATATGATAACATGTGAATTGATTGAAATTATAATTTTAAATAGAGCGGAGTGAAAATATAAATCCACATAACAGACTTCAAATAGTTATGAAAAAAATTTGGTTGTTTTTGTGTAATGCACAGAAGTTCAAATAATTAGAATTATTCAATTGAATTTTGTAAGAGATGAGCGGAGTGAAAATATAAATCCACGTTATAGACTTCAAATAGTTGAGAAAAAAATTTGGTTGATAAATGAAAATAAAGAACTGTGAAAAGAAATATATATATATGTTTGTTCATAGGCATGGCAATGAATTTGCCCATGCTCTTGCAGCGGTGCCTCGAAGTCATATACCAAAAGATGTGGAAAAGAAAAAAAAAAAAAAAAAAAACATAAGGAATCACCAACCCCAATGAAAAGCCTTTCTTTCTCAATAAATGCAAAGAAACTTCTTGGGTTCTAAAAGAGAGAAAATTACTATTATCATCATATCTGGAGGACCGAAATCCAACCCAAACTTAGTTGGGCTGATGGGTCAAGCCCAGCCCAGCCCAGCCAGAGTTTCAGAACCTTTTGGGTTGGTCGAATTACACACTGTTGGTCGAAGTTAATTTAATGAGCGTCGAGAAAAAATGTCTGCAAAAACAAAATATAAAAATAATTCTCCAACAGACGATAAAATTAAAGAAAAAGCAGGATATTCACTTGTATAATCTTCAATCTAATAGTAGTACAAGTAAAATTATTCTCTTAACAAATTGAGTGTGTAAATAATTGTCATAGTAATTTTATTAAGAAATATATATATATAAAATTGTGGTAGCAATCGTCATCATCAACCACTTCATCATCTTCCTTGTTCCCGTCTAAATCCATGTTAGGATGATTAATGCCGATAACAATATTAACATTGGCAAGTGAAGTTTCCTGGAACAATTTGGTGCATCTTTTGATCCTAAACACAACAACATTTGAGTCAAAACAAGATTAAATAATTGGTACCTGCAATGCTCTTCAATTTCACATTTAACTTTTCTTTATTTCTCAATTTGAAGCAAGCTATCAGATCACACCTTTAAAGATGCTGTTGATTTAGAATGTTAAACAAATGCATGCTACGCATGAGTTAGATTGTTAGTTTTGTATTTTTTTTTTTTTTTTTAAGTTGAATGAGTTAGATTATTAGCTGTTACAGAGGGCTGCTCACAAAAGGCTGAAAAGTTCTAATTTTAATATCTTTATTGTAATTTCTGTAACTTTTCACATTAAAATACTCTCATTCTTGTAAGAATATCTTAAATAAAATCATTTTTAATTCAAAGTTCGTATCTTTTCCATTAAAACACTCTCAGCCTATCAAAGATAACTTAAATAAGATTTATTTTTTTACTCAAATGAATTTTTTTTATGAAAGGAGTATATTTATGAAAATTACTTTAGAAATTTCATTGCCAAATGTTGTAACCTCTAGTGATATTTTTTTTTATTTTATTGTTGTGCTTTTTGCCCATGATATAAATAAATAGAGGACAAATTACGAAAGACACTTTTAAAGTATACATTTTGTGACAGTTAGGCATTGCGCAACACATTTGACAACTAAAAATTAAAAAATACCATTTACCTCTTAAACACTTGCATCATCTCAACAAAACATGCAAATTAATGCAGCTAAAACCAAATGTAATACAATGAGAGAGAGAGAGAATTAAAGTCATACGACATGACAATCAAAGAATGCAGATTGCAGATTAAAATAGAAAAATAACAAAATGTAGGAATAGACGCTAAAATACCACACGATACACATCCACTACGTTCATGAGAATAACCCCATGCAAAACAACTCTAGCCCTGCAACCAAACCTAATCCCATACTCATCCTTCCCGAGTCATTTGAGGGTGGCCCTGCCCCCTCCGTCTTCGTTGAGTTTGTGCCACCTCCGGCGGGGTTTGTCGGTGGTGAAGCGGCTGCAGGAGACGGGGCTTCATAGAATTCCAAAAGAATCGTGTGAAATGGGGTTCGTGATGGCAGATGAAAAGAGAGAGAATCATAAAATGGACATGGTGTGGGAAATGAGTTTTGTGCAAGATAGGGGGGAGATATAGGACAAGTCCCTCTTCATCTTTTCGTAATATTTTATTATTTTCTTCTTTTGTTCAGTTGTGAGAGGGGGTATTTTAGTCTTTTCAAGGCTCCGTTAACTGTATAATTGACCAGCAATGAGCAAGTGGTACCTAAATTAAACTTTAGAGTGGCTTAAAAGTTAAAACAAAAAAGAGTTATATGTACGTAATGTACCATGCATGCCTATCATAAGAGAGTATTTTATTTTTGCACTTTACTCGTAAATAAATAAAACACATATCGATGATCGAACATGTTTTAAAAAAATTGTTTTTTACTTACAAGATTGATGTTAGCTTTTAAAGCTAATTTGACATGAGATATTTGGTGATGAATAGTTGAATATAATGAAGAAAAAAGAAATGCATATATACCATTTCCTGGTGAGCCCGAAGAAGTAGGAGGCGGTGGGTTAGGCTGACCCAATTGAACGCCGTTGCAATCTGCTCCAAGGGCACCTTGTAGGGATCGAACAAATCATTTGTAGGTTACATCTCCAATGCAAATAAAAATATTATATATATATATATATATATATATATATATATATATATATATATATATATCATTGAAAGAATACAGATGGAGAGAGCGTAGTATTTATAAATCATTGAAAGAATACAGATTTTTTACGGTTTACCCTTATGCTATAATAAAGGAGTAACCCTCCAACAGTTTGAAATTTAAAATTAGAAGAAGAATTAAGTAGTAGCATATACATCATATATATTCATTGATTTTTGCAAAAAAATACATATATACATATATATATAATATATTCATTGATCACAAAGTCATTGCAGCGGATATCTAAAAGAAATAAACCAAGACTATTGTCCTTAGACTTAGTAAAATCACAGCTAGGCCCTATCGTGAGAAGATCGCTCATAAGATTATTTTTATTTTATTTTTTTCTTGTAAGGAATAATTATTTTTCAAAAGTTTAAGCAAACACAAACTCATAACAGGAAATTAAAAGGTGCATGAATAATATGGGAAATAAATATATGAGTAATAAAAAATTTATAGAACGACTTACTTTCCAGGAAAAGAAAATTATAGAACAAGTCATAGTATTTGGTGTTTGGTGATGAATAGAGGAGAAGAGGATCTTACATTGTTTGAGACATGGTGCGGCTGGCCAATTTAAGAAATTTGAGGATCCATCAAAACATTGGCAAGAGTATCCTATTCCATTCACTACACAACTTCCATAACCACACCAAGAAAGCCCACAAGCTGTAAATTAAACAAGAGTTTTTCTTCATTAATTAGTTTCTATACTACTACTATCATCATCTTGCATAACAATTATATATATATATACATATATGCTTGTGGTTTGTGATGTTTACGGCTTGTCAGATTTGGAGGAAAAGGAGGTAGTGGTGGTAGAGCCCCATTGCCACAATCAAAATTCAGTGTGCCTGCAAATTCATCAAATTCATTAAAAAAATAATAGTAATAATAGATAAATAAAGTACTAATTAAATATAATTGGTTTGGTCATTCATCATGTTACAAGGAGATTGTGTGTGTGTGAGAGAGAGAGAGACTCACAGTTGGGCATAATACAAGGGGGGAATGTGACGTTAACCGATGGGAGCTGCAGTTGGTACTTGGTCCAACCAGGATTACATTTGCAATCAAATCCAAACAATGTAGCACTTGTGGCAAAGCATGTTCCTTGCCCACAATTTTTATTTTCACATGGTTCATCTGTCCCTGTACTCAATCATTATCACAATCATAACATAACCGTGTATCAGAGATTTAGTTGGGACAAAATTTCAAATATCCAATTACTTTTTTAAAAAAAAATAAGAAGAGATAATAATATAATCCAATAAAATGACTCTTACGATCTTACCTAACAATGAGTTTGTCAAAAATTGTTCCGAAGTGGCTCTAAGAATATTATTTGAAATGAATGGAGGGAAAAGAAGAAATAGGAAAGTAATGAAAGTGAAATTCAAATTGCGACTTCTCATGGTTTTAAGTGCAAGATAGGTCTGTGTGTGTGAGCCTATTGAAAGAGTATTTATATGAGCTATTTTCCAGGAGGGGCGATGATAAGCTCACCCAAGTGGGACCCTACAAACTCTTCCAACCCAATTTTTCCCTCTTAAATTACAAAGTCCTTTTTGTTTTATTCTTTTGACCCACCCTTTTATTTTGCTTCTTGGTAATTACTTTTAAATCTAAAGACAAATTAGCATTTTTTGTTTTTCTACTTTTTGTTAAATAGATGCTTCCCCAAAATTTTGTTCATGCATTCACTGATACAAGAGTCTAAATAAATATACACTCCACTTTTGAGTAGATAAATATGATATAAAACTAAAATTAGGCTATATACTCTAAGGCCTAATGTAATTTCAAGTGAATTTAAACCATATATTATTACTTTTGGGGAGAAATAATAATATATTTTGGTAATTTTCCAAAATGGCGAGGGAGTGTTGTATGCAAGTGGTATTCGGCGCCACGTGTTACAATATCAATGCAAGGGACCAAAAAAGAAGCAACATAGGTGGTATGAAATACTACATTCCCATGAATGTGTTATTTTAATATTTGGTTAATTGGGAGGGGGCGGGACAAGCGATGAATGAAAGAGAATAAGACATTCAACGCCTCTGTGTTGTGGTCGATTTAAGCGGCAATGCAAACAAGAATGTTTGAGTGCCACTGCTACGCAATTCTTGTCCATCTTCCAGGTGTTAAACAAACAAACAAATACATTTTCATATATATATATATATATCAAACCTTCGATGACATGACATAAGCTTTCTTTGTTTTTAACCCTTTTATTAGATTCTGAGATTTATTAAAGAATCGTGCTACACGTTTTTCAGCCATCCCGTGCTTCCGTAAGGACCAATTCGCCCTCTAGTTTATCAAAATATTCATTTTAATCCACTTCGAATATGACCCAATGATTTACTTGCCGAATTTTAGAGCTTAGCAAGTCCAAAGTCAAGGTTCGAGTCCCGCGAGGTGTTATAAGTGACTAGTCTCTACTGTCCCTGCAGTGACTTACACGACCCGAGTGAATAGGTTCTCTTTCAGGTCCTCAGAAATTAGTCAAGTTGTTAAGAGACCCTATTTATATATATATATATATATATATATTCATTTAACTTTTTTGACATCACAAAAAGTATCTTCAAAAAAAAAAAAAAAAAGCCACTCTTGTCATGAGAAGTTATAGAAAATTAAAAATAAAAAATAAAAATTCTCTCATTACCCTTTAAAAGCAAATGACTCTGAAATTGGAATTTTTTTTTTAAAAAAATGCAGTTGTGACAGTAATGGTCTCCTTCTTAAACAACTGAATGAATACTTGTATTTCAACTACTCGTACATTGAATGAAAGAGCGTTTTACAAACATGATATGGTTACACTTACGCATACACCAACACCACACGGGGAGCTTTGCAACACTGATAATCAGCAGTGCCGAAACAGCAACAAAATTAGTAGGGATTAGTGACAAATCACCAAGTGTCGACATAATGAGATATAAGATGTTGATAATATTTGTATCGCTTGACCACCTTTTACGCAGATCCGAATTCTGAAAACCACTTCTCATGGCGTTCAATGTCAGCTGCAGAAACACTTGGTTGAACTTTTGTCAGGGCTTCTTCGAAGTCGCACATGGCAATAGGGTCCTTTGAAATCTCATCCTTGGACATGTTCTTAATCTCATCTCGCGTCTTCCCTGCTATTTTACGTCTCATGCCATTTAAGGAGGCATCCCGGCACACATTCGTCAGATCATCTCCACTGTATCCCTCTGTTCGACGAGCCACTTCATCAATATCTACATCAGGAGCAACCTGTTATAGATGAAATAGTATCGTTAATGAGACTGTTCATCAAATCTTGTAGAGGTAAGCATGCTGTTCTTGATGAAGTTGGATAAGTGAACAAACTTATGATCAGTAACAACTGCTGTATTGTTTCCTTGACAAAAATAATGGAAGCAGTAGAAATTAAAAAGCAGAGTGAGAACACAAGCCAAAAGGCCAACTTGGGCTAAAATAGGGAGGATGTCAACATTCCGAATAGCAGGTGAGACCAAATTCATATACATTATACAATCACTAGCTTAGTGCTCTGCTCCTACTTTTTATATGGATGTCTCAGCGTAATGTATTCCATGCAATATCAAGATGGTCTTATTGGCATGTTTTGACGTTCTCACAATGACACTCATGCTATTCTGTGTAAATTATATAAAAATGGAGTCCCTATACATGTTTAGGAAATTTAGTTTTGAATATAATATGAGAATATCCTATCAATTTAAGAAAACCAACAAAAAAGGGGAAAAAAATTATTTGTAAGAAAATGAACAAAATAACTACCTTGATATGTCATACAAGTGAGCAAAGGGCAACAAGAGAGCTGACCCTATTTGTAGACAACAGAAGGCAAAGCCAATTTATTTGAATGAAAATCTTGAGATTTTGAGTGCTCATCTTTAATTCTTATTATGATTTTCATCCTTAATAATTGACTCCTTAAAATTAATTCACGACTTAAGATGAATATTGTTTAGAGGACATATTACTCAGTGTTATTGTGCTGAACCTACAAGTAAGCCTTTGAGAACTGCCAAATTCACTGCTCTTTTGCATGTTCTATCTTGATGACACCGTTCACTCTTACAAAACATTGGACATGAATAAGAACAACTTCAAAAATGTTACAGCTTTTTGCTGCATTCCAACAAGAAGTCATGCAAATTCACATGTTCTAAATTTTCATATATCATGACTAACTATTTAAGGATTCATTTCTAGCATTACATGCCTTTTATACTTGCCAAAAATTATATGCAATCAAGTTACGTTATTAACAAATGAATTTAACACATTGACATTTACATCATAAATTCAACAATTACAGCCTTGTGATTTCTGTGTACCCTTCCAGCATGGAAATAAGAGTGTGGACATTACGAACTGGACTTCGGACATATTCATCAGGCTTACTTTCAAATAGCAGAAGAAAACGATATCTCTGTTTTCGTTAATTGAAGTTAAAGACATGCTAAAAGCAATAAATCAAAATGACACTAGAATTAAGCTGATAGTTAACCAGATTGGTTTTGTTATTAGCACGTGCAGTGGTTTTCCATGCCCTACTAATATATTGCAGTATTGAATGAAGACAACACTCAACTAGGAGTACTACATCCACAGTATGTTTAAAAAACTGACAGCAAAGCCAACATACCTCAACAGTTTTCAAATTGATCCGTATAAGCTCCTTACGACTATCAAATTTCGGAAGAGGAATATAAATTCTTTTTTCCAGCCTCCTCCTGGTTAAATTAACTCCAAGTCAGATGAAACAGCATTATTTAATATACACAAATAATTATATCTGGAACTCAAGACAGCTAATTACCAAAATTGTACAAGTTAAATCCAGTTGTCAACTTAAAGGACAAGGTAACAGAAAGTGCAGAAAACATAAAAAATGAGATCCAACCTTAGTGCTTCATCTATATCCCATGGAAAGTTAGTGGCAGCCAATACCATTACTATTTTGCGACTTCCATCTTCATTAGTGGAACTATTGCTCACACCATCTACCTGAACTAGAAGTTCAGACTTCACTCTTCTGGATGATTCATGCTCCCCTGATGCCCTGAAAAAGTGAGGCTATTCATATAATACAACTGATTTTGACACAATCACTTAACAGTTCTGAACACAAGACTGGATAGTGTGGATACATATACGAGAGAGAGAGAGAGCGAGAGAGAGAGAGAGAGAGTTTCACATACAAAATTGTTTATTCTAACATCTTTTTTCTCTGAATTTTTATTCAATTATCTTTGTTAAGAGAAACATGAGTTTATCAAATGCAAACTTATATCTGCTTGATTTGAAACAGCATGCATTATAAACAAGATAATGCAATATATAACATTAAGGTTGGAATGGTTAAAAACAAATTGTACAAAAACTTGTTAAGGATGTAAGAATATAAAGTAGGGGGTAAGTTGATTATACCAATAGTTGTACATATAAAGGCAATACATGCATATATGTATGCTATACCCATGTGTTCATGCACAAGATGTTATTTTTTCAGTAACAGCATATGGAATAGCGTCAAGATTTGAGATGGTAGCCAGGTGAAGATAACAGATCCTGTCAAGAAGAATGAAGGACTCACCCCCGCGCATTGCAAAGTGAATCAATCTCATCGATGAATATTGTACTTGGAGCATAAGATCTAGCAAGATCAAACAAGCAGCGAACCATGCGTTCACTCTCCCCACGCCATTTTGAAGCCAGTGTAGCAGAAGAAACATTGAAAAATGTTGTGCCACACTCTGTAGCTACTGCCTTTGCCAGAAGTGTCTTCCCAGTGCCAGGAGGGCCAAACATAAGAACACCTTTCCATGGTCTTCTAATTCCCTGCATATGTGAGAAGACTTGATCAGATTGGACCATGTTTATGCACATATAAATGACACACAACTTTCAATGCACGAAAACTATTTTACTCAAGGAAATGCCTAAATGCAACATTTGGACCAACTATAAATTCTCAGACTACTAAATACATGGGAAAATTAATTACAGAGTCCTACACAGTACGAATTTTACAGCTCTTGAGCTCTTTCTGATTAGTGTAAATTTGTAAACATAAATTTAGTAAGACGAGAAAGGGTCGGAGCTATTTATAGCCTAGAACACCTAAGATATGCCGCAGAAAATATGCCAGAAGTTTTTAAACTTTGATACTGTCTCCGTTATCCAAAAAGTGTCTTCTCCAAAAGACCAACCTTTGACACTAAATTAATGCATAGTAAAGTCCCACTTCTAATTTCGTTCTCCTACTAATCAGTGACAAATCATACTTTTGTACATTTAATGTATGATCCAGTAAGGAATACGGATATTGGGTAAGGTGGAAGAGCAAAAACACTTGATGCTTTCATTTTATAGAGGACTCACATGATGACACTTGTTAGAGAAGAGTATCTAGGTAATATGTATATACTACCAAAAGGAAGTAAAAATGTTGGTTAATATGATCAAATGTGAAGGGTTCAAATTAGAGGCATGAATCTAAAACAATGATTAAGCTTCAGCTAATTTCTAATACCTGGAAATATTCGGGCATCCACAAAGGAAGAACGACAGCTTCCTCTAGAAGTCTTTTTGCTTCACTCAACCCCGCAACATCATCCCATCTCACTCCAGGGCTGCTTTCTAATACATCCCTTTCAAGCATTGCAGCTAAGTCTGTGTCAGGACCCTCATACTGTCCACGTTTTGACTTTCCATCTTCAACTTCACCATTCTGACAATAACAACAGAAATTAGTAAACCAAGCACTAACAACATGAAAAAATAACTGACAATATATGCAAGATCTGCAAAATCCCAATTCAGCAATGGAAAAATACACATGTTCATAATTCCCTTATGGCCAATCAGAGAATGATCAGGTTGAAGACATATCTTTTGCTAACATCATCTCTTCCTAAAAAATAAAAATAAAAACATTTTGCAATAAAACTTAGTACAGATAAAAGTTTTGAGAAGTTTCACTTTCATTCTGACCAGGACTAAGTTTCATGCTATAACTATGAATCTAAAACTTTGATGTTCTAAGTTCTGAGAACTAAACTGACACAAAAACAAATAGGAAATTTTACCTTGCATTATTATTTGCATGTTACCTTACATTATTTATCTTCCTTCAATTTAACTAGTTACATAAGATTATGCACTAAAAGCACCATGAATTTAGCTATTAGGATCATTAGCGTTGTTGGTCCTTATTAATTGAGGGTGCTGACCGCTGGAAGGATAGTAACCAGTGCATATGTGGTTCAGACTTGAACCACATTCTCACTCTTTGAGCTTTGACCAGTGTGCTAAGTAATGACTTCAACTTAATTTCAAGACAATTTCATGAAGTATTTGTCTAGTAAAACATACTGAACAGTACAACTTACCAACGAATCTGCCTTGCCAGAATTGGATTTCCCTGAGCCAGTGCCTTTCTTCACAGTAGTTGATGCTCGGACTCCAGAGTTTGATCTACTAGAACCACCAGCCTTTGCTCCACGACTAGTTGGTCCAGCTCTTGTAGAACCACGAGCCCAATTTCCATCTTGCGGTGACTTCTTCATGCCCACTTGACCAGCTCTTGTGGGTCTCCTACTTGTAGTGTCTTGGCTAGGCGGCCTCCATACATCCGGATCATCCAAAGGAGCACAAGATGAAGTTGGGAACTCGTCTGACGGTTGAAAAACAAATGACGAATTAGCAGAAATTGCAGGCGAGGAAGGCCGTCTACCCATAGTAATCTCTTTGAAAGTCCTTTTCTCTGCATCCAACAGCTTTACAGCCTCTGCTTCTTCGGAGAGAGCTTTCTTTATGTTCATCCATTTTGCACGAATTAATGGGTCATCAAGCGTGTTTAAGTGCCTGAAGACAGAACAAACACACGGAGCTTCACAAAACAACCTTAGGCATAAGAGAGAGACAGAAAACAAAAGAATTCACTACCAAAAATTCATTGGAAATGCAACAGACCTTGACTAATAATGATGAGATCCATCTGTTGCAAACAGACATACTTTCTTCAAGAATTTTCCAAGAAAATAACTGACTCCAAGAACCAAACAATCATGATGGAAACTTCATTAAAAAGCTTGGAGAAATTAAATGTGTATATTCAATGTACTTCATTGGGTGCTCGAAAAGGATGAGTCATAAGAGATAAAAATCCCTTGAAAGGGATAACCAAACTCTTCCATGTATTTTCTCAATCTTCTTCCCCGCAAAAAAATAAAAAAATAAAAAAATACCCTTACGAACTTTTTCAATAAAACATTCCTATGTTCCAACAAATCAAACAGAAGCTCGAAAAACATTTGAAACTGCAATGCTGATTTCATTTGCACCAAATCAGTAAAAGAATGCATCAAACTAGTTCAAGTCTAATATCATAAAGCCATACAATAAAACTCCACGGTGATTGTCCTAACCAACCATCTCATTCACGAATTGTAGAAATTTTATTTCGTTTCCTTCTGTACAACCGAACATCTAGAACTCCCAATTTCAACATTATTGAACAAAGCAAAAATGTAGAACTTAAAAAACGTCTATATACACATATAGAGAGAGAGTATACTTGTTGATCTGAGCAATGGCACCATCGAAGAAGATGATGGAAGTATCGTAGACACCTTCGAGGGCGTAATCTCTCGCCAATTTGAGATGATCTTGCAAGCCCGCAAGCGACGAGCCCACCATTATATATGTACTTTAAGGTTCCTTCAGGATGTATGGCTTTATCTAAGAAGAAATTGAAATTAGGGTTTACAAGATTAGAAGTTAGTGGAAAAGGCAAGTGAGCTGAAGCTAGTAGAATGGTAGTCAGTCATTCATGAGATTCAGCTTTCTCTCTTTCTATCTACTCTCTCTCCAGGCTGGTACGACCGACCAGTGAAGCTGACGGCGACGTTTAGACGATCAAAGGACGGGAGAAAGAAGTATCTGATTTTAGTATTTTACTTAACTGACCTTTATAGACTTTGCTGACGTGCAGTAAGTTGCCGTTTGATTATTTGTCATTGGATTAAATGTTATCTAATCAAATGTCTTTGATAAAATAATTTAAATATGCTCCAATTAAAATGGGAGGTAAAATTTTAAGTCAGGTAAAAATTTATAAAGATATTTAAAATACATTTAATAACATTCAACTCTTAAAATTTTTAATATTTAATTTATAATTTTAGCAAAGGATGTTCTTATGTTGTGTTCTTGCTCAATTGCTGAGTTATGTCCTTACAAGCAAAATCCATCACGATAATTTTTTATTTTTTATTTTTTTTAGAGATATTTGACTGGAATTTGAGAAAGAAAAAAATATATATACATATGTGTGTGTGTGTGTCCGTGGCAACCTTCCGGCCGCCCAACGACCTAGAGCACTCTTCGACAGATTCTGTGGCGTTATGAGCATCTAACTGGGCAACACATAATGTAATCTTTGATTTTCAGTCGCAATGTCAGTGAAGATGATAAGGACTTGCAATTCATTCATATGAAATAAAATAAGAACAAAAATAATTATGACATGAATGTTGTCATCAAATCCATTTATAACACGTACATTGTTGAGATATAACAATTGTTATAACAACCATTCATTTCTAGTTTTTTTTTCAATTTTTGTTTCTGGTAAAGTATTTCAATATTTTCTGTGCATATGCTTAACTGGCAAATATTAGGGCATTACCCAATGGCCTCACATGTTTCATAAGCACATTCATAAACATTAACTTGTGCATGTTTACAAACAAAAGCTCATAAACTTACATTTGTAAAAATATGCTTTGTATAAGTTAATAATTGAGGCAACACAATCTCGAACATGAACTCAAATCGTGTTTAAATAACTTTTGTTATTAAACCAACTGATTCTTAACTCAGTTTTTTAAGCTTGTCACAATCCTAAAGGACCTAAACCAAGCCCAACATGAACTCAAATCGTGTTTAAATAACTTTTGTTATTAAACCATCCGAGTCTTAACTCAGTTTTTTGAAAGGACTTGAACCAAGTCCAAACTGAACTCATAACCGAACGACACAGAAATGTCATTGAATTCTGTCCTCAACCTTTTACCATCAATTTCCCTTAGACAACCATTGTAAAAAATCACAAGAAGATAAATGACAAATGAGCAGAGAGTTCAAAGAAATTAATCTAAGAGCAGGTAAGATGCCACTGATTGTTAAAGCAATTCACTTTTTTCCTGGCCTACCTCCAGTGAGGTCATAAAAATTTAAAAACCATCATCCCTTCAAAATTCAAACTCCCAGTCATATACCATTTGACTGCAAATGCAACCAATCTAACCATTCTTAAGTCAAGAATAAACAAGTAGATAAGAAAAGCAGTATTCGTCGATAAAAGAAAACATAAATTGATTTTAGAAGTCAAGATTACAAGTCTAGATTTTAGAAGCAATGATAACATAAATTGATTTTAGAAGTCAAGATTACAAGTCTAGATTTTAGAAGCAATAACACATTCAGCATAACCTGATACAACTATTTAGAACCATCACCACCAGAAACAAAGTGTGTAGCTTCCACTAAACTCCTCACACTACCTCAAGTGCAACACTGCATGAGTTGATTGAGTAAATACAACAGAGGTGAGAGTTGGTGTCTAACCAATATTTGACAAAATCAATAGGAGGGATAATTGATCGAGTTATTTGTGTTAGAGCGGCTCAATCTAGATTGGCTAATATTATCCAACGCTGCCCCAAAAACCCTTCGAGTATAACCATAACTGTTGCCATCAGAATGTGATCTATAACCATTAGGTGGTGGTGTTACACCAGGGGGAGCTGGCTCTGAATATGAAATAAGGTTGTAAGCACAAAAATAAACAAATACATTAATAAATAAAAGATCCATTTTCAGAGAAAAATGAGCATCAAGTGACAATTTTACTTAAAAGAACAAACATCACCTTGTGCATAATTTATTTCCTGCCTGCACAGTGTTGACGACCTCACAGAATTGGGAGAGCCTTCAGTATTGTTAAATGTTACAAGGTGCGGTGTTGGTCTGGGAGAAGAATTTAATGTGGATTTCGTTGCTGTGGACAAGCTCGGTGAGGGCTTGTCTTGCCCAGAAATCTGCTAATCAGAGTGCAAGCGTTATTAAATATCAAACTAGATTGTTAAACAAGCCAGGGATCTGAACTTGGCTCCCCTAAGAGTTCATGCCGCCAGCCTGTCTCCAATTATTGAGGCTCTGTCATTTCTCCAAACATTTGTCAGCCTCTTCTTTGGGAAAATGACAAAGGCACCCCATTCCATGCTGATGCACACAATACCAGGAAACAGGCTGGAAAAGTCGATGATTTTGGAGGAGCTAATCCCAGGCTCTACAAGTAATATGACACAATAGATACTAAAAATAAATCAAACGAGAATGAAGCTAATCGCTAATTCAAATCAAAGACCTAATCCTAGCCAAAATAACGTTCATCAAATGACAATGAGATTCAAAACTGTTAAAAACTTCAGCGAATTCAAACCATATAACAAGGACGCACCGCAAATTTCAGTGTTCGGTTGTGGAGTTTCACAAGACCAGAGAAAAGCCGGACAGCATAGTTTGCAATCTCATCAGTCTCATACTCTGCGAAGGCAAAACCTTTTGGCTTCTCAGTTTCCTTGTCTCGAGGAATATACAAGTCCACTACGCGCCCTGCCTGAATGAGAATATCATACAACACCCTTTCACTCACTCTCTCGTCTAAACCACCTATTTAGAAAGCATATTAAAACCAAGTTAAAACAAGATATTCAATTATAGATTAAAAAGGGATCCACTTTAAAAATGACAATAATCACTCACCAATTGATTGACTTAAGATAATTACGTGTGAAACATGTGATATGTTAAGGTAAAGTTGAGTTAAACAGGTAATTCAATACCAATACTGAACAAAATAACATAAGACTAGTCCATAAGGATTCATACAGTCCACAAGAACCTTGGGAAAAGCAAATTTTAAAATAGGGATAACTCCTAGAAAATGGTTTGAATTAAGTAAAGATTCAATTGTGCTATATTAAGGTTTACCGTTCACCAAGTCCTATTACATGTTTATTTTACGTCAAAATTTTCCTCGACAGTTTCTAATATGTTTTCTTATATTTTAGGACTTATTTTGGCAATTCATTATTTTCTAGATATAAACTTTAGTGATGGTCCATAGATTACATTCCGACTCATCTTATATTATAACATCTTTAAATATAGCTTTTACCATGGTAAATAGCAAAAGGCCAAAAATGGACTCATAAACGTATGCTAGTATCCTCTCTGAACTAAATTTCTTGACAATAACCCCAGATCCACCTAAGTGTCACAGTAGACCCCCTTCCATCATACCACAAGTGCCATTTGTTAAAAAACTTGCAAACATCCTCTGCGGACACATAATTTATATAGTAACCATTATGCCTTTTTTATTTCACCAAAATGTTGCTACATAAATAACTACAAAGACAAGCAGAGAAGAAGATACTACAATAGGATTTATTAAAGAAATTCTGATAGTCGCAGTTGAAAGATGATTAGTATATTTGGTTCTAGTACGGAAAAGAAGAAAGGGTGAAAGGGTATTTTCGAGTGTAAACTTGTTCTAAGGATATATATGTCACACCAGTGTGCTCAAACCAGTGCATCAACATCAGAAATTTAATAAACAGGCTGGTAGATTGGTTTAACAAGAGTAGAAGTAATGGGTGTGCCGACTATGACAACCATAATCGTCCAAAGAATTTCAAATTTAAATAAATAAATCACCCATCAAACTTACAATTCAATTTTGTTAACCACTGCAACGCATGTATATATGAATGTGTATAGTCAGGTAAATTAGTCATTACTATTCAAGAATTGGTAGAGGTGTAACCTAAACAACCCATAATGATTCATGTCATAATGTTCGTAGCTATAAAAGATATGAAACGGCATATTTTTGGCAAGCAAAAAACTTGCAAATCTATAGATTTAACAACGAATTAGAACATATTATACAATTGCAACTAATTTCTAAAAAGCCCTTACAATAATCACCATAAAACCACTTCATAGAGTCTACGTTGCTTCGACAGAAAACAATCTCGATCTGTGAAACCCTAAGAAAGCCCTAATTTATCATGAAAGTTGAATTTAGTTACTATTATTGTTTTTCTTTCCCGGGAAAACTTTTTCCATGTAAACAAACAAAGCAGAGAACCCTAATCGAAGAATGAAGAGAAGAGAAGAGAAGAGATTTGGTGGAGAACTTACCGATGTAAACCGTGCGAGAGGCGTTTTCGGACATGATTGATCTCAGCAGAAACTCAATCAACGAGTGTGGCTGCAAACGATTAGATAGTTTTAAAACCGGACTCGTCTCCAAATACTGTATTTGTTTTGGTAGGAAGCGAGATTTATTATATATATATATATATATACTTGTGTCAAGTCAGTTACGAGGTCATAACCCTATAAGGAAAAGGACCTTTCCTAATTGGAATCAAGTTATGACTTTAGATTGGGCTTTTGTAAGAGCATGGGCTTTGTAAATCTTTTGAGCCAAAAGGGTTTTTGTAAATTTTATTGTTTCAATATAAACTTACACTTGCCTTTTTAAAAAAAATTATTTTCATTAATGTTCTACTCATTTGCATTATAAATTATGAGTTTTATATGTTGATTTGTTAAAATCAGTCAGTGGATAACCAATGTTTTGTTACGGTATCAAAGTATACAAATGAACATTTTTTTACAGATCAATAACCCTAATTTTAATTTATTTTTTTTCCAAAATTAGTATAATGGAATCTTTATTTGAAAAAAAAAAAAAAAAAAAAAAAAAAAAAAAAAAAAGGGAAAAAGAAAAGATAACTATGAATTAGAAAATAGGTCTTTCCCTTAAAATTAAGAGCGAGAGATAAAATTAGATTAGGGTGAAAAAAGAGGAGAGAATTAAATTAGAATTTGATTTGGATCTTGTTGACTTTATTGACTTTAATTCCAAAGCCTGTCAAAGCATTTACTTTTATTATTTTATATTGTAGGGCATTTGTCACTTTTTGTTCTTGTGCCACGTTAGTAGTAAGCATAAATTTTTCTACCCTACAGAGAAGTAGAAGAAAAACTTCATTACGCTCATTCATATAATATACATGGTGTATTACACAAGCCGATAATAAATGGTTGGATGCACAAATGGAGAAATTAAAAAATAAATAAATAAATTTACCTTAGTAAGAAACTCACTAATTTTGTCCTTTTCAAGAAAAAGAAAAAAAATTCATGACTAATAATATATATCCACAAACCTTACACAATTTGTTTGAATCCATATTCACAATATTTATCCCTATCTAAGAGAATATCAATGCTTCTTAAGTTGTTTTTCTGTCAGGGATCCGAGCTCATATTGAAAGGAAAGAATATGTGAAATAAGATCAGAATTAACAAGTTAAACATATGTAATGGTAACCAGGCTCAGTTGTATAGTATAGACCAGAGCATGCAGATATGACCACATTCTAAGGAGTGAAAGGGGTCGAATTTTGATTAAAAGTGAAATTCCAATATAACATTGTTTTTATGTTTTCTACTTGCAAGTTACAATATATCCTATTTTACGAGAGCGTTTGGAACACTAATGATTAAAATCAAGAAAGTAATAAATAAAGAAAACTACTACTTTACGACAAAACCAGTCAGCATTCACACACCCTACAAAGAGTAAATGTTTTCTGACTTGCAATGCAGTAAATTCTTGCACCAAATTACACCCATTTTAACACCCACCCTAAAATCATCGATTTCATTACAAAATTTAAACAAATGAAGTTCCATTTACCATATCCAATTACTTTACAAAATTGAAACTCTCGGAGCACTCGAAAAAGTCTTCCAGAAGCTTAAAATTCTTCATCTTATTAGTCAGTCAGATTCATGTTGTCAGCCTACCCTTCTCTAATTTCTTCAACTGGTGAAATCAATCTCTTAACCTTCCTTTATAATTAATAGCATTAACTGATGGCATTTTCTCAACCCACCCTTCATCAAGTCTTCTAAAAATGACCTAATTAGCATTACAAAAATTCAGAAAGAATATATATAACTCGTAGTTCGGAGAGCAACTCGTAAAGATTAAAACAGAAGCAGAAGTTCTAACATGAATGAGGGGGCCCTACAGCTGCTCACGGCAAAACATCAAAACAGACCAAACCACCAGTCTGCTTGCATGAGTAGCAGCTGCACTATCAGGATGCGTGTAAAATAATGTTGTTTGCTGATATTAATATAAAGAAAGATCTAATAAATAAATTAGTAGGAAAAATCAAAAGGTAAAAACAGAAGGGGAGAAATTTAAAGAATAGCTTTTGCATTACATGAAGTTACAAAAACTCAGATCAACATAAACGCACTTTACCTTATCTACGACACTAGAAAACCCAGTCCATACAGGAATAGCGGCAAGTGTTGGCAGGCATCCTGACACATAAAAAAAGCAAATTAAATAAAACCAATTCCAAAACGAAGAATTGAAACAAAAGAAACGCAAAAAACCGTACCTAAGTACATGAAACGTACCTCGGACACAATTAAAACAAAATCTGAGAGATCTAGCAAGCCATATGGAATAAAATCGTCCTTATTGCCAAAATTTGTCCTTTTTAACTCCACCTAGATTAAGACTGGAGTGTAAGCATGCACTCCCTGACTTGATCTAAAATCTCTTGTAGCATGTTTCCTTGCAACTCTTTCATCTCATGACATATCTCTTGCACATTCTTCTCCACTTCTTAGGCCCTAGCACGAGCTTCATCCACGTCTTTTTTAGTATCACGGGTTGATGAAGTTGGCCTATACTCGTTGCCAAACCCACAAAAAAAATGAACTTATTTCTTTCTCTTTCCCACGGGTTAAAATTTCTCCATTTTCCATAGCAGCTTCTTTCATTTCCGGCACTTAGACCTGCATGCTCAAAAAGGGGAAAAATAATTATATACAATAAAAAAGCTGTTAATTGAAACTTGCACTCTGATGCTTATGTTTAAACAACTAAACATTAACTGCAAAGACATTCTTACATAATTATTCTTAGCCAAGCCTCCTCATCAGTTGATTCCTCATTGTTCTTGATAAGTTGATACATGAACTTACATAAAATTCAATCAAACTTCCATTTTCTCCAGTTTCCTTATCTTCCTTTGATAAACAAGCCAAATAAGTGAGAAATCTAAAATGATAAGCAAATTATAGAGGGGGTTATAGATTGTAGTATCAATCATATGCTAACTAGGCATTTTTAAACAAATACAATACAATCCATACATAACCAAAATATGAAAAGTAACAAACTAGCATTGGGTAGCCTTCTCTCATTACCATCTCATCCATATGCCAAAAATGGAATTGGAGAAAATAGAAGTGTGATTGAATTTTGTCCCTCCATACATTGACCATAAGCCAAAACCATGTAGACATATATTTTACCTATCTCATCACACCAACTTGGGCATCCAATGCTTCTTCAAATTGCTTTTAAAACTCCTCAAGTGTGATTTTGGTGTAAATATCAGTCCCATGTAATAACATCCTTCCATTCATTTTATTCTACGAAGCTTCTGACATAGTACATATTCAGCTTCTACCTTCTTGTAATGTTCGTATAGCATAGCGTACCAAGCATCAAGAAACTCACGTTCGTCCTTTTAATAATCCATAAATTTGCTCAAAACAGCTTGAATCCCAACTACGCTACTAAATGCTTCACAGTATTTTACATTATACGCCCGGTAAAAAGCTGAGGAGAGAAATTAAAAGTAACAATGGAAGAATCAAACACCAGTTATATATTTTTTAAACCCAACACAAAACGACATAGTATATTAACATTTTTTCCCCTGAGATCCATGAATAGGTGAGCTGGCACACGAGCAGCGGGTTGCAGACCAGCTCCCCAAAAGGAGCAATAAGTACTAGAATAAGGTAATGGGAAAAACAAAATTTACCGGGAATCCCTTGAATTTAACCTATCCAACTAAAGACCCTTCAACAAAGGGGCAATAAGTTCACTTTAATGCTAATCCTAACCATAAACCTTCATTGGAATCTTTCTTTTTTAGATGGCAGAAAATAGAGTAAATTGCAAAAATTCCTTAGACTATTGAACTTTTTCCCCTGCTTTTTTTTTTTCTCCTAAGCAAAGTCAATTTTATACCAAGAAAGAGAACAAAAATACAGCAGAGGGGACAAAGCCTCTGAGCAGCATTTCAGGCAAATGGAAAAGAAAAACCACTTTCAGAACCCAGATACAAAAAACAAGAACATAATACAATGAAATCCACCAAACAAAACACCCAAACAACCAAACTATAATAACCTTATCTACACCAGATTTAAGATCAATCTGTACCAAATCAAAATCAAAACCCCAACTATTCAGAAAAATCTTGCAGGGAAAAGTCCATTGCATCAGAAATTTCCCAAAAAAATATAGATTTAGCAATTAGAGAAGTATGAAGAGAGATTCCATCATGTAAAACTTGTTTTCTATTCAGCCAAATCCTCCAAATAGTCAACACAAACAAGTGCTGGTATATTCTGTTCCTCTTAGAACTTTAGGAGAAGTGGGAACCAAACCAGTCTACTAACTGTTCAAGGATAAATTATACTGCCCAAGTTCCTCTACTAATGAACTTTTGCAACCCACCCAGTAAAATTATCAAAACGTTACCATCAATCCTTTACTGTGATGTCTCTATTATTATCAGAATAACCTCAACTTCGTTTAAATAAGAACAAGGAAGAAAAAATAAACATAAAACAACATGCATCACCATTTTCTGACTCCACTCATCCCATTTAGATTCTCCCTTTGCAAGAAGTAAACCTATATTAAAGGGACAAAATTTAAACGTGTCAGGGAACTCCTAAAAAATTAGGAAACACATAGTTAAATATTTACAAGTATTTCCATTCACATAATACCAAAAAAAAAAAAAAGGAACGGAAAGAAAAATATATATATTTGCATTCACAACTTTTTTTTTTTGATAAGTAAAAATTTTATAAAAAAAAAAGGGCTCAAAAGGAGAGCGGATCCCAAAGATACACAAAGGCCAAAAAACGCCTCAAGCCTTCAATGAGGCCAAAAAAAAAAACAATCTCCTCAAAAGATCTATAATCTCTCCCTGAAACCCAACAAAAAAGAGTGAAAATAATAAAGAACTTAAGCATAGAGACAAGCTTCTCCTTTCCATCGAAATATCTCCGATTTCTCTCCAACCAAATGCACCACCAAATACAAAGAAAAGTAGCCCTCTAGGCATCCCGAATGAGAGCCCCCACTGAAAAGCCTTTCCAAGCCTCAATCAACCCTCTAGTGGAACAAAGCATAACCCAAGGACCAAGCATCCAAACC